CACCTAAGAAAGGGATGGTCCGAAGACCCCTCCACTGTCAAAAACTACGCTCCCCCCAGCGATCCCGATTAGGGATCGTCGCAGTCTTCAGCCCGCCAGAGTACAAGGGCGAGCCTCCACCTGGGGCCTGGGCGTCCGTGATCACCCTGGTCCCCGCGCCAATATGAACAAGACAACGTTTATGTGCAATTGACACAACTCCCAAACTTCGTGTACTGACTTGACCAGGTTGCTTTATGGTCGACCTATCATGACATAGTTCAATCTGGCTTTCGAATGGTACTTTAAAAAGGAAACCCACGCTATCGCTCTGTTCAATTTTCATGCTGATTCGTACTTTCGGATGCAATCTTTTTAGGCCTTCGTGTATGCTCTCGGTTTGTTTCATATTGTCCATAATAACGCGAATATCATTGGCATATCTTCTGTGTAACGTAGCTCGTTTCAGTAAATTCTACACCTAGGATTTATATATGTGTCAAGAATAAATCTGCTATTACTGGTCCCAAAGTGCTTCTCGTGCCACGCCATCAATTTGTTTATATGCCTTTCCTTGGAATGTAAATCAGGCTTTCGTAATATACAGTAGTAAGATTCTTTCCAAAATGGAGATAGGTAAACCAGTTCTCGCTTGTTCTGTTTCGGTGTGATCGCAAATTGTTTTATGGTGTGTCGTTTCGGTTTATATACAAACTTTGGTTTGGTTTGGGTTGACTGTCCACGCGGTTATATGGATGACAATTTCCTCTCCAGTCGGTGAAATCTCACAGCTTCCAGTTAAAAGAAAGCATGATATTTCAGAGCGATATCTGTCAATATAGATGTGAATAACTCTAGTATTATTCATAGAACAACAACTCAGCCTCACAAAACGTATTAAGGATAACCAGGTTTTCAGACACTAGTAGCTGCCAAAGCCATTATCAATCACCCCTAAAAACCTCACATTGCAGTGCAGAGTAAACTATAGTACAAGTAGTTCAGTGTCTCCTGCCGACAACTAATGCTATTCCCAATTAGCTTGGCAGGATCAAACGCTAATTATCATCAACACTTCAATATCCCAGTAGAATGCTTCCTCATGACGCAGACTCATTCTCTTACCACCACCACGTTATTCTTCGAACAGGTTACAAGAATTGTTTTTCGAATCTTGTAGTTCCCCCCGCCCCGTTCCCCACAAATACGATCGTAATGGTCTGGGAAGGAAATCATCATCAACTGCTTTTCTGCTCACTATAGGTGTATGGGCAGATCACCGAGAACGCTCAATCGGCTAAAACTCTTTTTTGTCATATTGGTGCTGCTGCAAATCAGTGGTAACCAGATTGTTTGCCACAATGCTTCCTTTACAGTGCTTCGCTCAGGTAAACTTTTGCTTGATCTAACGATTACGCAAACCATACTACAATCAAGTACAATAATCCAACCCTATATGGCAGTAATAAAATACCAAACGGGAGAGCAAATGAAGTAAAAAAGGCAACGGTGTGACTTAATGTGGACATAGAAGACAATCACCTGTCCTAAAGTGCTGCCGATATCGCTTCCAAGGTGGTGATTGACCCGTTGAATTCTCTTGTTAACGACGGAATAAAATTTCAGATGGAAATGGCTTTTCCACATCACCGTAAATTTTGTTTGGCTAAACGGAAAGGGGAGAGGTCTATCAAAAATGTTGAAAAACCCACTCAATAACTGATTATTGAAAAGTTGGTCGTATTTACTTAAGCAAGCGTATTTCTTCATTACACATATGGAATGTTTTGGTAAAATCTTGCCATTGGGTTATTTTGCGGTCTTTGTCCGTCATCAGCTTCCGTCCTCGAAAAAGAATAGAAATGCTTATCATGATCACAATTTTGTGGGTATAAATTTACACAAAACGA